GGGGGGGGGCGGGGGGAACCAACAAAGCAAACAACCGTAAATACCAAAACCATCTCTTATTCATTTACAGGTTTGGAATATTTAAAATATTTAAGAGGTTGCGAGTTTGAGTTTGCAGAATGTTTTCAATTCCCTAATGGCCTGGGCACTTTAAAGAGATCATTTGAGAAAAACATGGCTAATTCAGGGTTTTGATGTTGTTTCTTTTTTATCATGAAGGCCTACAACCTCTCAAAAATGTATAAAACTGAAGACGTGTATTTGATATGATGACACCGCTCTTGGACTTGGCAGATTTGGTGCCCACCTTTCTTAGAACATATTTCCCTGATGTCACCAAAATCAAATAGAAACTAAGCAAACAACTGTCTCCTTAACTCGGACTGCAACAATACTAACTCAAAAGTGATGAAAAACAAAAGTATTGCAGAGAATGCTAAATGCCCTTGAGTTTGCTATTCAAGAAATCTTGTGGGGTGGTTTGTATCAGTTTGATGTGTTATCAAGAAAGTCTTACTTCTTTCTGGTTCTCCTCAAATTTTGCAAAAGCCACATACAAGTGCTCATCCATATGCTCTTCTCCAAAGAACTCCACTGCCCTCTCGTATACTTTCCTTGCGTGAGCAAAGTAACTGTGCTTCTCTTCAAATCGGGCATACTTGATCCAGTTCTTCACATCAGGATGAACAATAACAAGTAAAGCTATGTTAAAGAAACAGTGGTGGTCGAATTGGACATTTCAAATTGCATTCTTCCCAGTGACTAACAAGGGCCATGGACTATATGAAACAACCCCCAACGATGGCATATGCAAAAATGCAACTGGGAAAAAAACAAAAAAGCTTTAAGCATGTGAAGGCTTTGTGCCTTACTGAGAACTTAAAAAGAAAATTTTAAAAGAGAGAAAAATCAGGCAAATGTAGCAGAAATTTGAGGAGAAGGGATCTGGAACAAAAGATGACTGCAAAAAAAAAACCAAGCCTGGAAGCGTAAGCGCTGTTAAATAGACATAGTTGTGGGAGTATGCTTTTGATAACTACTGCTGATTTTCACCATGGTGGCTTACTCCCAAGACACCACAGTAAAAAAGGGCACAGGGACACAGCTGGAGATAGAATAGCTAAGAAAGAAATGAAGAATGCAGGCCTGAAGTTGGGTAGGTGTCACAGTGCACTAAAAAGGATATATCTCTCATAAATGGTACGCGCCCTGTCCACCTCCTTGTATCTCAGCTCAAAGTTAATGTAGGAATGCCAGGCTTGCTCCTCTGGTTGCCACTCCATCCAACGTTCAAACACCTGACGTGATCCAGCAACATTCCCCAGCATCTCTTCCATGTAAGTATACTTGTACCTTAGAAAACAAGATGAAGTTTCTACAATCACACAGTAAACACATAAATCACAAGTATTTTTTCAGTGCTTAAAAAGATCACTAATGAGATTTCTTCACCTATTCCCCACTGGCACCCCAGAAATGCCTACTGCTGTGATTAGCAGCATGCAGGCGCACACACACATCCTTCTCTCCCAATACTCTTACCACTTGAAAAGTACAAAACCTTTCCAAAACATTTTTTTTTTTTCAGATTAGCCTGAAGACTTGGACGAACAGAAGACAAAGCACTTTTGCATGATACCAAACTAGAAAAACAATCTGTAGTCTTTGGGGGTAGAAGCAATGCTCTTCTCTGCAAACGTACCAGAACTGGTTCACTCTGGGGAGGGTGGTAATGGCTCGATCCCAAATGTTGCGGGCATGATTAACCTGGCGGTTCTTCATTTCCATCTCTGCATACTTCAGCCAGAGTGTGACATTTCTGTAGTCCACATCTAAAGCACGCTCGTAAATGGAACGGGCTCTGGAAAGCAAAGAGAAGTAAGTTGTGCATATAATGTGACTCCAAGATTTTGGTGGTGTTTGTCAACATATGTCTTCAAAGGTTTATAAGAGATGTCTCCAGCTATATTATAATTACCTCTGTATTTCTTTTAGGCTTTCCTCCCATTGTGCGTATTTTATCCAGTTACTGATAACAGTCCTGTTTTTTCTTATGTTATCTTCAAAAGTCTGAGGAGAAAATTATTTCTGTAAGAAATCCCTCTGTGCAGACCAATCTTGTTATACATGGCTTATGAAACATTAATATTATTGGAATGAGTTCTAAGTGTCTTATTGCAGATGTAGGAACAAATTGTACTCACTACAACACTTTCTAAAAACTGATTAAGAGAAGCCAGAAGCTTAGATCATCATACGGAAAAGGACCAAACTCAAGTTCCTGCAAGCTGACACCTGAAATACTGATGGAATAACAACTGACAGCACTAAAATCTTACCTTTTTAAATCTCCTGCTTAATGTTTCAATAGCAACATTACCCAGATGGGATCCAGTCACTGCAAACAACCTTAAATATACTTGGATGCACCAGCACAAGTTTATTCACTTTGACCTGTGTATATTTTGCTCTAAATTTTTCTTTACAGCAAGATGTCTTATTTCCTGAATTTACTATGGTGGCATTAAATGGGCTAGACAAATTTCACTGCTCAGTGCAATGGCGAGGGCATCTTCAGTCTTACACCTGGCTGTTCTCAGGATCGGTGCTACTGGTATTTAACACGTGGCTAAGCATGGTTTAACAGAGTTTACGTGGTCACTTGTTACTGCCATATGAGAGAAGGGGAAAAAAGATAACATCAAGCATTGCTTTTGCAGTGCTGCGGTGTTGACCATCTCACTCCAGTTGCTCTGCATGTGCCTGAGAGAGGTACCCTAGCATCCAGCACAGTCAGGCCCAAAGTCTTCAGAAGGAGTCTCAACCACCACAGTAAGGAGGAACATGAACACCTGCTCAGGGTTGACTACAGGCATGCTGTGGTGTTGTGCTACAACAGTCACTGGTTGTGAAAATACGCATATATGCTTCAGGGAATAACAGCCCTAGCTCATGCTGTCTGTATCTAAAAAAAACCTGCTGAGTGCTGAGAACATTTAAAGTTCCCTGTTAGGGATATGCTTGCTTTGCTGGTGAAGGACAGCCAAAGGAAAAAGCAGAACAATACCACATACAAGTTTGCACATGCAAAGCAATTATTTTAAATAAAGAACAAAAAATTATACCTGAAAACTCACATGTAAAATGGTCAAGTTTTAAGACACTCATTGAGCACAACCATGATTACAGTAGAAAGTTATGTTCTAAAGTATGCTAAGCAATACCATAATTACAAAGAATAGAAATATCACTTGCAAATACACTTTTTAAATCAGTTGAGGTGGAAAAACCATCAGCATTACTGTAAAGCTTGCTGAAGTTCTTTCACGCTGATTGAACAGACAGTAGTGGTGGTAAAGACATTGTATATAAACCATGTATGTAATGACCCTTGCAATGTTCTGAACATGGTCACATATGAGATACTGTGCACTACCAATTTTTATATTAAACAACACATTTAACTTACATTTTTTGCACAAAAGTAGCATTTTCTATGAAAATCTTCTGGTTTTTAAGAATTGCTATTCCTCTGGAAAATCCACAAGTAATACAGATTACATCTTGTTTAAATTAAAACACAGTAAAAATTTTAGTGCTTTATACAAGCATCAAGATTAGGGTGTTGGTTTTTTTAACTTTACCTTCCTCTTCCGGAGTTTATAGTCATTTAGCTCTTCAACATCTGTGATCTTCTGTTGTGGAGGTGGTGGAAGAAGTTCAAGCTCTCTCTCTTTTGCCTCTCTTAAAAGCTGCTCTGCTGTGATCTGAACTTCTGCAGGTGCTTTGTTTTTCACCTGTAAAGTAAAAAGGGACTTGATGCGCATTTTCTCCTTCTAATACAAAACTGAAAAAATCCTCTCATGTTTAACTTACACCAGTGCCTTACTACACTCAATATCTGCCGAGGAAGGACCTGGGGACCCCTTGAGGTAGCCAGGGGCTTGGTCGCCAGCACCAGCCCGAGCCTACGCGACTTCCGCCCGGGCCAGGAGAGCCTGAAGCCGCAGGAGTGGGGGGCTGGAGTGAGCCACAGCAACCGGGCGCTTTGCCCACTGGCCCAGAGACCCAGGACGCGCCGCTTCCTAGGCCCGACGGGGCCAGGCCGAGGCGCTCAGCGCTGCTCCGAGGACCAGAGCCCGCC